GGTACGCTAAAATTTTTGGGATCAAGTCAACTATAACCGTATAATAGTTAAGATATCCAGGTTGAGTTGATGTATTTAATGGAATTTCTTTCTTATCGTTATCGGCTTCCTCTTTTACTTGATATTTAAAATAATGTTCATTAATTCTTTTAAAGACTATATTTATTATATTTTGTCTTATATCCCTTCTAAGTGCAAATTCGTTAATCTGTTTATTCATATATTCTGCCTCCGCAACTTTTTTATATCCTGTTGACTTCAAAAAGATATCAATTTGATTGTTGGTGTCTTCATAGTCTTGTTTATCCGTATCAGCGATTATTTATTTTTGAGTTCAGCCACTTTTTGATGATTACCATGTAGATAGCCCAAATATTCTGTTAAATAAAAATTAAATTGGAAATCTAAACTGAGACCAAGACCGAGGCCAAGACCGAAAAAAACCAAAAAAAGTCTTGGTTCCAAGACCAAGAGTCTCGGACATCTCTAGTAAAGGAGTTCAACATATTACTTACGATATATATATGCGACAATAATTCGTTCCAGAACATTAAAATCTATCGTTAAATTATCGAATCCATTTTCATTTAGAGCTAGTCTTTGAATTACTAGAATGTATTGGACAATATCATTATATTCAGTTTTTTCTCTAATCTGTCTTAACTCAGGTTCAGCGTATTGTTCCATATGCTGAATCCGTTTAAGATTTCGTTCTTTCTGTATTACGCTCATCGTCCTTTTTCGACTCGTTTCATTAATAACAGTTAGATCTTAATTAGTATCAACAATAAAAATTTTTAACTGAAACCCGCTTCGAAATGTTCTAAGTAAATGGATTTTCCAGATTAGTTCATTACAGGCAGTATCCAGTAGGATAATCAGGCCATGAAATAATCCAGGAAATAAAAGTCGTTCAAAGGGGCTTAACCGAGGGACAGGTTTTATGTATGGATGGAGATGTGAGGATGATCCACCATGCAAGATTTAAGACGCATAGGCGGGTCTAATAGGATAAAAGAGAAGCCATTAGTCGATGTCCCAGTAGCTCAGTGTTAGAGCTCCTATTTGTAGTGAGGGAGCGCCTAGCAATAACTTCGAGAGGTCGCAGTTTCGAATCTCGCACAACCCAAATAATTATATAAAATTACTTTCGTCTATTTCTGTTCCATTTTCCTCAACAAAGATTTTATCCATTAGCCCCATTAAATATAATTGATATTCATTTATTAAATGAAAATAATTATTTATCACTTTTTGTTCAGAGTTAACAAGTTTACATGATGTCTGACTGTTCAACTCATTAAATTCAATTTCATAATAATTTAATTTGTTTGAAGAATGTATTGCTGGATCGCAATTCAAAATATACTAAATTTAAGACAGATTTAATTACTGGATGGGAACTGTAGCCAGATTATCACTTTTGGATATACGAAAATATTAACCTAAAAAATTTTTGGTATAAAGGCCTTTCTGTACTATATCTAAGTTACACAAACCAAGATAACAATTTTTAATAACTATACCAAGGAAGATTTAAATCTCTCTCTCTCTCATCTCTCTCTCCCACTCCCCTATCTCTCTCTCTCTCACTCCTCTCTTTCTCTCACTCACTCCCCTCTCTCTCTCACTCCCCTCTCTCTCACTCCCTTCTCTCTCTCACTCCCTTCTCTCTCTCTCACTCCCCTCTCTCTCTCACTCCCCTCTCTCTCACTCCCTTCTCTCTCTCACTCCCCCCTCTCTCTCACTCCCCTCTCTCACCCTGTCTCTTCTAGCTAAATAAGCTCTTCTCAGTCTCAGTTTTTCTATTATTAGACACATTTAAGACATTTTCTGGTGTACAGTTTTACTTACTAAGTTCTCATTGACGGACGACCTTAGTTGATTATTTTATTAAATTTTAGAACTCTCAACACCCCTGTGACAAAGAATTATAAAACAAGCTCCATCGCGCTATATCTGTTCCTTGTTTAATTCGCTATCATATAAGCTTGTTTTGATCCCATTATCTCAAATTTGAATAAAGTTATGGCATAAAATGTGTGCCCCATTTCTTTCTTGTCACCCTGTATATTTCTTCCCTTGAAAAGCTGACCAAAAATAATTTTGCAAAATATATTTACTTTGTCATTAAATATTGTCAAAATATATTGATCATCTGGGCAAACTTTGGTTTTAATATAATATGTTTGAAATTCTTCCTTTAAACCATTACTATCAAATCCTGCAGCGAAAGCTAAATTAACTGGATTCATACATTCAATTTTTAAATTTAAATTTTGATCAGATTCAAATTTAGCTTTCAAATTAAATTGTAAAACACGAACAGGATTTTTAAATAAATCAAGAAATTCATCAAAATGTTTATTTTCATTTGTTATTTTTATATATTTTGTTTTGTCTGGGTGAATGATGATGTAAACAATTGAATTATTTTCAATATTATTTATGGATCCTTTAACTGACTGAAAAAGCTGAGATTTATTTGGATTAAAAATAAATTTTGAGAGATTTTAATGGTCCTAGACTTACTCAATTTTCAATTGCTCAGAAAGATAAAGTAGGCAAGGAAGCTATGAATATATGTCCAGAAAGGGATTTGAACTAAATTCTTAATCTCTCATATTTTAAAACTCTTTTAGCTCTGCATCAAGTCCCGAGCGTTTCATCACTGAAGTTTAGCATATTCGTGATTTTAAATTACACTGGCCCTGAGTCGTGATTTTAAAATGCCATTGGCCCGAGTTAACGCCCAAACCTCAGATAGCTAGACTTGATAAAAAATCATAATTTTAAAATATTGTAGCTAAAAAAGTTTTTAATAAATCAAAACGAACATTATTCCCATATATAGACACTCCAAGTTTGAAAAAGTCGAGGCTATCTTCCTTTCCAACCAGATCATCTTGTAAAAAGTGATAGGTATCATAGCCATTAGTTTGTCCATTAATGGGATTATCCAACAAATTGCTGGTTAAATCCAAATTGAAACGCTTAGACGGTTTATCATCCAAGTATTGGTAATACTTTAACCCTTCCCCATTCTCTCGCCAAGAAATCTTTACAAATATAGATAACGGGGAGACGTTTGTGGGCAAAATTGGTAGGACAATGTAAAACAAAAGCAATAACATTGTCTAAATTAAATTAATTTTTGAGGGGGAAATGGGGGCTTAAAAATTTTTTTTTAATTTTAAATAAAATTTGAAAATGAATAATAATAAAGTATTGCCGACGGAATAAATAGGTAAATAAAATAAGGATTTTGAAATTTGTCAAAAGATGCCGAGGCATGACTCTAATTTTGCAATATTGCACTTTCTTTTATGTTTAGCCGTGTTTACATGTTAGTATTTTTGTCTGGCATTTAAATATAAAGCAATGCCCTTCCCTTATAAGACGAAAAGCGGCAAAAATAATAGGGATAATCAAAACAGATTTTTAAAAAATTATTAATTTAAAAAGGGCGATGAAATTAACTCCAAGACTGCAAATAGAGCCAAAAATGATTTTCGTTGTAAATACAAACTTATGGTTTATGTAAAATTTGTACGTAAAATTGAGGTGTACGTAACATAGAACTAAATTTAATATAAGCTAAGTGAATTGCTAAAAATAATAATTAAAAATTCATATAGGTATACTGTATTTCCTCAATTATGACTCTGCCTACGGATAGCTTTAAGTTATGATTGCCTTCCCTCTAATAATCTCCCTCAAACGCCAAGTTCAAATTTCAATTTCAAACGTTAAAATTTAAAATATCAACTTTAAAACTCAATTTTATCTTTTATAATTTTTCTAGCAATCGTGAAAAGAAATGGTGGTATAGATGGTGGAGATATGGTGGCTGCGGTTGTGGTTATGGATACTACGGAAAGTGAGCAAATTGTTAAGCAGAATTTTCTATGATCAAATAATAATATAATACAACTTAAAGGATTAATTTTAATTTGTTTTAATATAAGTGATAAAGTGAATATTCTGTTTTACAGAACTGATAAATCATTTTTTAGTTCATCTACTCTTAATTTGTAGGGACTCTCAATTTGAGTTTTTTTCGGTTGTAGAATTACGAAAATTGACTTAATTGAATTATCAAAAAATTTTTTCGACCTTCGAAAATCGGCAATTCACGTATTTTTTGAGTCGTGAATTCCTGAAACTGAGAATTATATTTTTATGTCGGTGCGATCTCTCTGGTGTCATATAGAAAAAAAGGAAAATTATTCCGAATTGGGTAGCTCTGATTTAAATTTCCATCAGTAATAATTTTTGCAAAAATATTGGAGTATCTTGCTTCAATTTATTTATTTTTAATAATTAGGTAATAATTTCAAAATTTATTTATTTTTATAAATTTTATTATTTTCTTTGAAATACCCGAAAAAATCTATAAATCCTTATTTAAAGCATGTGAATAAATGAAAGGGATGCACTTTATATTCTATTGCCAAATTTTATCTTTATTAATTTGCCGAAAAGTCGTTTTTGATTTTATTTTTACTTATAAAAAAATTTTTTTTATTAAATTTTATCTCTTAAAAATTAATTAAATTAATTTTATTTTTAATTAATAATAATTTGAGGGGCATAATTAAGGGGTATTTAATAATTGAGGAGCATTGAGGGGCATTTGTTTTATTGAGGTCCATTTAATATGTATGAGGGAAATTTTAATAAATTTGAGGGGCATTTGAGGGGCATTTGAGGGGCATTTCCTCTCAAAGATGATCATATTCTAAAAATTCATGTAGTAAGTGTTTGGAATCTGGTATCTGCCTGGTCGTAGACGCGGAATGGATGATTCGTGTTATAGTAAACGCTAATCACGGCCTGTTTCCGATCGGAAAAACTTAACAAACCCAACCCAAACTCGATCATACTTTTGGATTATCTAACGGACCACCGTACTTATAACGACATTCATATATGTAACCGATCATTTTTATCTTATAGAACGCTAATAAATTAAGAGTTAATTTATTTTTAGACAAGCAATGAATTTGCTTTTACTATTTTTATTCTTACTCGATTTTTATCCAAATATTGAATCAATTTCAATTTTTGTAAAAATTTCTTGGCGAGATAATGGGGAGCATGAATTAGATTATTACAAATATTTGGTTAATAAAAAGTCTGACCGTTTCCTTTTGGGATTAACTAATAATTCCATTCAACGCCCTATTGTTAGAGTAACAGATGGTTATGATACTTATCACTTTAAACAAAAAGATTTTCAAAGTGTTGGTAATGAGCTTAGCAATTTTAGCTTACTCATTGCTTTTAATGGACACGATGTTAGTTGGTTTAATTTAATTAAAAAAATTTTTTTTAATATTCCTGACTTTATCAAAACAGATTATTGTTGGAATCAAATTTATTTTAGGCATAAATCTTAAAAAAATTATAGGTTCTTTAAAAAAACAAACCCAAAATTAAGAGTTAACGAATGAATGAACTAAAATGATTTATCAATTCTTTAAATGTTTAATTTTATATGACTAAAAAATTATTATTTATTTTTAAGTTAATTATTGGCAAAATAGAGAATATAGAAGATAACTCTATAATCTATATCATTCCCCGTCTCGACAATACAAAATATATAAAAGTAACTAAAGACATAGTAAATGATTATTTTGAACAAATGATAAATTTATTTAAACATCCTGTTCGTATTTTACAATTTATTTGGAATCGGCCAATGAAATCAGACAGACTTATAGATGTAAGAATTGGATGTAAAAACGAAGTAATAAAAAACCAAGCTACCACCCATTCAATTTCCAGTTTGAATACTATGCTGTATAGAAAAGGTATTCCATATCAATCAAACTATTATGTTAGAATCAAAGTTTGCCCGAATGATCAATATTCTGTTGTGCTACTCGGAACCCACGTCAATGTAAATATCTTATTGAAAAATAGATTTTTAACTATACAATTCCCTCTATTCTAAAATATACAATAGTGATAACTGTATTCAACAAAACCTTTTAACACTCATTTGTCAGATATGAATTTTACACAATGATAAGGATTTAATAGCCTTTCACAAGATTTTAAAGCGTTTTGCACAATTTCCGATTGTTTAAAAAACTTATTTTATATTTCTTGATTCGGCACTTAAAATGGAAATATTTTAGTTTTGGTTACAGCCGAAACAAACTTTTAACCAAAACATGGAATTAAATAATGAATGAACTAAAATAACTCATTAACAAATTTCAAAACGTTAACTTTTATAAGGAATAAAAAATGTATTTTTATATATGTTGTAAATTTCTCTTTTTATATAGGAATGGTTATATTGCGACCAAGCGAATTTTTCACATAACTTTGTAAATACTTATTATATTAATTTCTATGATCCTCCAAATAAACCTTATTGCAAATTACGCGCTTCGCCGCTTGAAATAGCAGACGTTTTTGATGATAAACTTAGCGATATTGAAAAAGATGTTGATCAATTTATGAAATTTATTTTTGCTGATAGTGAAGGTATTGCAATTCATGGAGGTAATTTTAGTATAGATAAAAGTTGCGGATTTTAAATATTATTAATCACCAAAGGTTGGATAGGCAATAAATCAGGATTTCAAATTTTGAGTTCAAATAACACAAATGAAATGGAAGAAGGTCAACGACGTGATCATGCCTTAGGAAAGCCTCCTAAATATCCTAAAGGTACTCTAAATAAGATTTCTTTCAAGAGTTTCATTTAAAATGAAGTAAATTTAATGTTACGTCAACCTGCTGTAATGCCATATTCAACTTTTCACTTCCCTGGGGAAAATTCAACTATGGGTTTTGGCTCTACACAGAATAAAATTGGTAAACCTTAAATTTATTACCTAGATGTAGGGAAAGAGAAACTATTATTATTATTCTTTGACTGATATTTTGCAAGGTTGATAACCTTAATCAAGAAAGTATATATGTATTTCTTACTTTTTAAATGGGAAGGAAATTAATTTTAAAATAATTCTTTCATTAATAGACGTTGACAGTCTTCCCGCTCCGCATGAGTTGGTATTTAATAATCAAGTTAAATTGTATGAAAATGCTCTTATGTGGGCAAGGATAAAACAAATGCAGAATAATGGTCGTAATGCTCATGGAATAAATATTGCAAGTCAACAAATAAATGAGTGAGTATTGAAAGCATATGACTATATAATAATAAAGCCTTGCATAAGGTTAAATTAAAGGATAACAAATTATTATGTTAAAATGAAGATGCTGGTTCGCTCCAAGCCGTCTAAATAACCCTTTGCATCAGCTTAAGTAAGAATAGCTATAGATCCGTTTAGCTTACTGTAGTTAAATGGACCAACAGAGACTTTAATAGGGTTTTAATTAAATTGAAATTGTTGAACTATAGTTAGAGTTAACGAATAATTTAGCTAAGAGATTTATAAAGGCTACTTTGACATTAGTAAGTGCCATTTAGCAAAACTGGCTTTACTAAAGACTAGCTGAATATAACGTTATTAATGACATTCTTCTCTTTATAAATTATAAACTAAAAATATTATATGTATCGAGAAAACGTATCCACTAAAATGTTTATTCAGGCAATTCCATCAACGCCCTCATCAACAAAATATCAATCCTCTTCCACAACAACATGTTTTAGAAAATGTCCCGCTGATTGATATCAGTGCTCATGCCTCCTCAAACCCAGGTGTGTCAACATTAGAGGATGTTGTATAGTGAAATAAATGACAAAAAATTTAACAGAAAAATTTTATTAATAAAATCTATTAAGATAAGGGGAAAAGAATCGTTGATTTTGATTCAGAACAACCCCGAAAGAAAGCAAGAAACATTTATGTAAATCCACGAAATGGTGTTGTTATTGGAAAAGGAGATGGATCGGGAACTGAAGCGATGAACTCGCAACATTTACAGGGGAATTCTGAACGTAATCAGGAGGATGATGACGATTCAATTCAAAAAATGATAGATGAACTTTATTAATACAACTATTTTTGATTTACATATTTAATATATAGTTGGACTCTTGTATCTTTTATGTTTTTGATTTTCCTTTTAATTAAAGTCATAGCAATTTATGTAATTCTAAAGTAATGAACTCACAACATTAGGATATATTGTTTCATGAGCAAGTCTCTATACCTTTAACCGGAACCTTCAGCCTTAGGGAGGTTGAAGGTTCGATTCCTCTTCGGTAACTAAACCTCCGTGATGATTCATCCTCGGAAACTAAACGCTATTAAACTCTTGTATTTTAAGAGAAAAATTAATATATTCTGAATGATTCAACATATAAATGCGTTGTTTCGAATAGTTCCAGCTTTCCTATTAGTTTCTTTGCCTTATTTGTGAGTTCAGCTATGTTTAACATATTATTAAAAGTTTAGTAAGCTCTAGATCTAGAAGATTTAAAATAATTTTAGACTCTATTACTCCTTAATTCAAGTTGTAGTTTATGATAAAAATTTATTTATATGATTGACTAGCATTGACAATGGGTAAAAGTCAAATGATAAAAAATTCTCTCACTCCCCAAAAATTAAACAATGCCTTCTAATTCACTATTAAGGGCATATGCCAGCCCTCCTCATCTATTTTAAATGCCCGCATCGGATTCACGCGCAACTTTTAATATGTATGAAGGCGTGCGCGACTTGACAGGCATGAAAGCTTCTTCCCTCCCTTCATAATTGTTTACTCATAATGCCTTTACTCAATTTTATTTTTTAAATTTAAGATTTTTAATATTTAAATTTATTAAATAATATAATGTCTTAACTAATATTATTAAACTTATAAAAAAAGATAACACTGAAAAGCTTGTTTACAATTAAGTCTGATAACATTAAATTTTGAATTTTTCAACTTACACCCCCCCTCAACTTTATATCACATCCCTTTTAAATTTTAATTTTCACTGTTAGATATCGGAAGATATTCCTAGTTGTGAATTTTACAGTCAAATTTTCTTTTTGCAATTTTATGTTCAGATAAAAGCATGTCCATTAGGTTCAGTTTTAGCGAGATCTGACCTTCATCTATCGTCCTTTCGTTATCCAGCTCAATCTGCTCCGGTCCTGAGGGCTTATCGAGATTTGCTGAGATTTATTTCTGGTTGGAAAACAAGTTAGACACAGAAAGAAAGTTGAAAGGAAAGTAAAAGACCTTAAAGGCATGGGAATTCTGCAGAAAAATGACCTAAACTCCTATGTATATTTGGGCATGGGAATATCACCGAATGTCGGTTTGATTAAAAAGGCAATCCTATTTTAACATAATTAGGCGGCATTTTTATGCCAAAGAAAGCACTTTACATTATAAACAACTATCCACATACATAAAATCATTAAGAAGCACGTGAATATTGACGGATTAATTCATTAATTAATTTAAATAAAAAATTTATACATAAATTTTTATTTTTTTTCGCGATTTTTAGTGTTAGAAGGAGCTAGTATAATAAATATTTTTTACGACTTGTTTTGCCAATTCTCCTAACATTCCTGAATGATGATGTTTATTTAATAGTAGTTTTGCTTTTAGAGCGTCTTTTTGACTGCGATGTAGTTTGTATAAATTATACAGCGAGTGTCTTATTGTCAAATCCTCCCCTCACAATGCCTCCACTCTCAATGCCATTATTCTCCTTCCTTGCCCTCTCCCTTCTCTCCTTCCCTCCTCTCCCCTCACCTACCCTCTCCCTTCCTCCCTCACTAAATTAAACAATTAATTTTGAGTGAGAGTGTCACATTTTCAAATCAGACATTCCTCTCCCCTGACAATGCCTCCCCAATAAATGCCCTTCCTCGTCTCTCCTCCCCTCCACCACCCTTCTTTTTACTTTTTTTATTGAGAGATGGGATTTAAAATAGGTAAACAATTAATTTTTTATGAGTGTGTCACATTGTCAAATCCTCGCTCTCTCCCCATCCCTCCCCCCCTTCTCCGCTCTCATCCTTCTATTCATTTTTTTAATTTTTTTAGCTTTATAAATTTTTTTAAATTAAAGGAGTTTTAAAAGAAATTTTAAGTCTTTGAACGAAATGTGGTTATTTTTGCTTTTTATGTGTTTTTCTTATTTAAATGCCGTGCCACACGGTGGAGGAGGTTATTGTGATTTTTAATAATTAAAAATCTTTTAAAAATTAATTTGAAGGAACTTCAACTCCTTCAAGTAATGCGAATGGACTGGAAGATAGTATTCGTCAAAATTATCCACAGTACGCTAATATGCCTTTCAACGACTTACATCTTCAAGAATTGTTTAAAACATTACCAAATTATCCGATAAGTAAAATTTTCTCTAAAATTTGGCACTTAATCGAGTTGGCATTAGGCAACGGAAATAGGGCAGCGGAAACCCCAACTTGTTAAATTTCTTCTGAAAATACCATAATATACCCTACCTTACTTAATTAAGTTGCAACTTTTGCTACGTAGGAATTATATAAATTCGGAGTGTATTTCAATTATTTTATGAAATAAATGCTTAAATTATAGGAGCACCAACAATTTCTGTTGATGTCAGTAGAATAGAAGATTGGTTTCTTCAAAACAATCCAAATTGTGCTAATATAACATTTGAAAACGGACATCTTTCAGAAATGCTAAAGATAATTCGAGAACATCCGATAAGTAAAGAAAATTTTGGAAATTTTTAAAAATAAATTTGAAAAACTGCTAAATGCTAACTCTGACAATTTCAGACAAATTGGCTCCATAAATTTTCAGGAGTGAATTTCGCAAGGCCACTGGGCCTGAATTATTATCGAAGTTATTATCCTGGATTATTATCCAAGTTACCTGATATTTATTTAAAACTTTATTACCGTATTTCCGAAAATAGAACCCCTATCCTCTAAAGTGGGGCTCTATTTCAGGGTGGGGTTCTAATTCAGGGTGGGTGGTTTTTTAGAAGGATCCCCGTAACTGATCGTTATTGATATTTTTAATATTACGCGCACTCATATAATAAAGTTTTGTGTGTTTCACGTCCCATATGGCAGGCAAATTTTTTGAGATTTTCAAAGATTGAGATATATTTCAAAATTCAAAAAATTTCTAAGAATCTGAAATTTTCTTGAAAGAAATTCGATATCGATACTTTCCAAAAATTCGCTATATTTTTATATCGCTCCAAATACAAAAGTACAAAATACTAAGTAATAAGTACTAAATATAAAAATTTAGAAGATTTTACAAAATCTGATTCAACTCAAAAACTTAATAAAATTTGGACGGCAGGTCAAATAGATTCCGCTGCAATTCGTCTAATGCAGGAAAAGTGTCTCGAAATAGTTAAAAGCCGCACTCCGAATTTAGATAACAATAAATTAATTGAAATTTCTCAGAAAGAAGTTAATGAATATAGTAAACGGTGTGATGAAAGAAACAAAGATAGACAAAAGATTTTTACAAGCCCGGATAATCCTTTTAATAAGGCGATCATACCATTTCCACAATTTTCAAGGTAAATGGTCAATTAAAAATCAGTGATTCTTTAATATGGATTTTGAAATCTCTTAGCTAGCTTCCGGAGCCATACCCAACACTAAATCGAACATTTGATTCTTATCACAACAAATCCCTTATCAACGAGATTTATCAAAGCAATAATATAATTTATAATTATCAGAGACCAAAGGGATTTCTATCTAATAAAAATTATTATATTACATATGATCCTTAATTATGATACCACCTTCTACCGCTTTGTATAGGAACTACGTTCTTATAATAAGGTCTATGACAGTTAATGTCAGCCGCTTTACTCAGCTCTATGAAAGCTACCTATGATTAGATATGAGATAATAACTAGTGAGGGCCTTTTACACATCTTAGACATCCTCACCTTCCTTCTTTAAACTTTTTTCAATGTAAAATTTCCTCTATAATCTATTATAGTTTGCATCATCCACGAGCTCATCCATTGACTACTCAATTAGGAGGAGTACAGTATGCCTTACCTCGCGTACCTCCTCCTGTTCCACATGTTTTGGCTCAAAATTTTTTGAATTATCAAAAGAAATGTAATCCTCACTACGCAAAAAAGCCACCACTTCCTGTCGGAATACAAAATCAACCATTACTAAGTGCGCAAAATCACCAACAACAAACACAACATGATAAAACAACCATTCCTTTTCATCAACAAAGTGGACAACTTCAGGCACACCCACAGCATATATCTGGACAAAAGCAACAAATACAGCAACAACAACATGTTGTAGAAGACAATACTTTCCATCAAAAAAGTCTACAAAATCAGCATCAAGTACAACATGCTAGAACAAACATTCCTTACCCTCCAATTGTTGGACATGCTCAACAATATGTTGGAACAAACAATCCTTTCAGTCAAACATATGGACAGATTCATCAACAACAACCACAAAACGTTGAAACAAACATTCCTCCTTATCCGATAAGTGGGCAAAATCAAAAACAAATGCATCAACAACATGTTGAAACAAACAACCTGTCTCGGATTGAACAACGTAAGCTATCATTAATTTTAAATGTAGTGGGTGTCCGACGATTTATTTTTTGGGTGACCCCGTTTATTGAACAGTAACCCTGGAACTGTAACCCTTTATTGACCCTGAGACAGTCAATAAAGCTACCCGTTATAAATTGGAGGATCGTGAAAGTCTTTTGCCATCTAGAAAATTTATGAACTGGGAGACAAAATTAGACGTCCGTATGACCTAGAAATATTTAATTTTAAGATAATGAGGACGATGCCATTGTTGAGAAACGAACTTTGGACGAATATGAACACATGCCTGAAAACGGTATCAGAATATACCCAGATTCTGTGCTTAGAAAATAATACCTTATTTTAGTTGCAAAGAGAAGGAAAGACAAAAGTGTTGTTCAACAACATGGTGGTGATTTTGTAGGGTATCAAGAGCAAGGATTGGGTACACAAAATCTACCTGTAATTTTTTTCTTTATTATCTCATTTCTAATAATTTCTATAATGAATTCTCTATTAACTAATTTAAATGATTATTCAGTCTCTTCCTATCTTCGATACAGATTTTGTAAATGATGATGATCTTGGCGCAATTATGCAATTTTTACTTAAACAGCAAAAACAAATAAGTATAAAGTTTATTACCGTATATACTCTATTAATTACCCTCCCTCAAATAATTACCCCACCTCTATTAATCAATCCCTCTAGCGATAGATGGAAATAATAATTACTCCATTAAAAATAGTTATAATTAGCCTTCTTAAGATGACCTTTATTAATTACCCCGCCTCTATTAATTACTCTCTCCAGCAAGAGGTCGAAACAATATTTACCCAAGATAGTTAATAGAGTATATACGGTATGTTATTTCTTTAGTTCCTCTTTATGCTACAGACAATTGTGTTATTTGCTCCCGAAATCCGGAACCGTCCCAATTAATTCATTTAAATAACTGGATGCTAACAATATTAATCACTCATATTCTATGCCTATTAAATTCAGAAGTAAACTAAGGGTTTACTCACATTAGGAAGGGTTAACTCAAAAAATAGGCCCTATCATTTTCACCATCTGTTGCATTAATCAGTCGTTCCTAGATTTAATATCATACCTTTCCATGATTGTTTTTTTATCAATTTATATCCCTATTAATTTTATTAATCAACGATAAAATAAATTAATATCTATCTAGATAAAGGCAAAAACGAGGCTCAAAATCAACAACACGTGCAACAAATTGTGGGAGGAGAACAAAGTGATCAAAGATTTTTACAAAATAATTATGTGGATTTGGAACAATATGGCAACAATACAGAAAAGAATCGAGAAATATATCATCCCCCTATGGTGAATTTAACAAGTCCTTCCAACTCTCAACGGGAACAACATTCATCGGAACCAACATTATCTCCACAAACACCAATTAAAAACCCGATACGATTAAATCGAGACTGTTTATTTAAATCACCTTTGAGTAACATCTCTACTCCTTTGGAAGGACCTGCTGTTGATCCGTTGGCTTTGTCTGAAAATGACCCGAGAATGACTTTGAGTGAGCCTTTTAAAATTCAAAAATTATAGCTTGTGGTTGTAATTAATAAATGATCGGGATTTAATCAATGATAGAATAAACCAGGGTTGCCGCGGGTACAAAAAATCTTTGGGTACGGGTATCGGGTTTGAGCGTTTTCATTTCGGGTCGCGGGTTTCGGGTTAGCAAATATATCCGGTACGGGTTTCGGGTTATAAAATTTTCATTTCGGGTTTCGGGTCGGGAAATTTTCTTTTCGGGTTTCGGGTACAAAAAAAGGCCGGGTTTCGGGCGGCAACCCTGGAATAAACTTTACCTTTTATTTAATCTTCTTTCTTAATATTTGACCATAATGGGCCTTTAATCATTTCCAATTTTTTTGAAAAAAGGGGGTAGTGTTAAAAAAGGAGGTAGTGTTAAAAAGGGGGTATTATTTCTCGCGGGATTAAAAATTAATCAAAAAATCAACGCCGAAATGTAAATTTACAAGGTGCTGGGCATTTAATCCATCAACATACAACAAACAACCATGGTATCCATCAAATGAATTTATCACAAAATAAGGGAGCACACACTGAATTTCAACCATATCCGTCAACTGTGCATCTATTTCATGGAAATGATAAGCAACATAAACAAATACCCCCTCTACAGAATAATGAAACCCCAAATAATTTTGGACATCAACATCCATCGAATTTTGCATTAAATGATCAAGTCCGACATTTAAGTCATCAACACACACCAAACATCCCTGTTCACCCTCAAATAAATTTATCACAAAATAAGGGAGCACATTTGGGTATTCAAACAAATCAGTCAACTTTGCATTCGCTTCCTCACACTGTTCAGCAGAAACAGAAACAAATACCTCCTCATCAAGATCTACCCCAAATTTTTGGACATCAACAACCTTATAACCAAGTGCATCACCATCAATTTTATCAGAATCAACAGCCGCAAAATTTAGTGAATCAATCAAATTTAAATATTGAATCATCAAACCTTCATAACATTCCTGGTGATTCTTTCATTTCTTTTAGTCAATTAACAGATAATGTTCCTCGGACTATGGAGCCTTTAGGAACAGGATCTTAAGAGCAGATAAGGCTTGATCATTGTTAGGGAGCGGGTTAGAGAGATGATTAGATGATGTTTTTGGACCTTGTTTTTTGTTGCAAAATGGCTTTAAAGTGGAATACTCAAGTCTAACTATTGTACCTAAATCTTAACCTGGCAGATTAAGAATCAAATCAAATCAAATTTATACGCACCAGCGCGACGATTTCAGACAATAATAATGTGATAAAATAAGTTAAATAAATAAATAAACGTAAACAAACAATTTCCTTAACATAATTTAAAAATTGTAAAAATGTCTTTTAAGGTGATTTGGGAGTGAGTCAATAAATTGGGATATATCAAAAGTGACTAGGAGTCGACTAAAATGTTCAGGGGTTGAATTGCGCATATGTTGAGGAATAAATTTATATAACCGAGCAGTTCTAACGAAAAAGGAGTGGAATCTGGCTTTTGTATTACATGCTATAGTTATAATGTTTCGGAACCCCCTGGTATTGGCTTTACTAATAGAATATGAGTTGTTGTTTTTGATTGTTATAATCCCACAAACATGTTGATGGAATAAATTGAGATCGGCTTTAATACGTCTATAAAATAGCGATTCTTGTTTAAAATAATATAATAAATCATGATATTCAGGTAATTCGGTTTTAGGATTAATACGTCTAAAAACCCAACGGAGAAAATTCTTTTGGACTTTTTCAATTGATTTAATATCTTTATCAAGATGTGGATTAAAGACAGATGAGGAAAATTCTAAAATGGGACGGACATAAATATTGAATAAATTTGTTAGGATCTTCGGATTCCTACTTTTAATAGATTTGAAAATGGAATATGAGCATCTAATTGCTTTACGGGTGATTATATTGATATGCTTATCCCATTTGAGGTCATGAGAGAAATGTATGCCCAGGTCCCGGACTGAATCCTCAGAGGAGATTTGAGGGATAACAATGTCATTGATAAAATATTTGGTTAGTGGGTTAGAGTTTCCTAAATATAAGACTGAACATTTTTCTATAGCAATTTTAAGGCCGTTAAGATGGCAATATTCTGAAAATTTATTTACAAAAATTTGGAGAGGAGGCTGATTAACTCTATTTTTAAAAACATTATAAGCTTTAAGATCGTCAGCAAAAAGTTTTAGAGTTATTCCTGGTGTGGCACAATATGTTGGAAGATCAGATATAAAAGTAATAAATAGTAACGGGCCTAATATGGATCCTTGAGGTACACCGCTGGTGCAGTGTTTTTCCTCGGAGAAATGATTGGATACCCGCACAGTAAATGTACGATTGGTTAAGTAATCATTAATCCAAGAAAGAATATTTCCTTGAATTCCTATTTTATAGAGTTTTGAGAGTAGAAGTGAATGAGGAACAGTGTCAAAGGCCTTGGCTAGATCAAAATAAATTGTATCAATGGAATTTTTATTCTCCAAAGCATAAGTGAAGTCATCCATTACTTCAAGTAATTGTGTTGAGACTGAGTGAGATTTACGGAAACCATGCTGACATGCAGGCAAAATTTTATTAGATTCGATAAACGATTGAAGCTCATTTGCGATTATTTTTTCAAGTATTTTTGATGAAGAACAAAGAAGAGAAATTGGGCGAAAATCTATTGGATATTGTGGATTTGTTTTCTTTGGGATCGGGTTAATAATAGCTTTTTTCCAAATTGATGGAATTTTGGAGCTGAGAATTGACAGTGAGAAAATATGAGTAAGAGGGAGGACGAGTGTATCCCTACATTTTTTATAGATCCCTACATTTTATAATAAATAGCTAATCAAATCACATCCTCTATCTATTACTATATTTCTACAATATTATTTAGATAATGGTAACAAATTTGTAGATTCAAATATCAATCCATTACCATACAATTTTCATCAAGGAATCCATAGTTTCAACAATGCAGGAGAACATGGAATGGCAGGATCGTCTTCTCAGATGGTATTTTACTTTGGAAATTAAGCTTTTTCACATCAAATGACCATTTATGATACATTTCCGATATTATTCGTTCATCTTTCTTCTGATCCAACGGGTCTTGTATTTTTGTTGATTACTTTGGGAGAAAATATGAGCTGTCACAATTCTTATTATCTTCAATTTCTCCAAGAGAATCAGCATCTGTAGTACCCTCAAAATCCTATTAACTAAGGATAAGAACTCTATAATGAACTGAGGGCGCATTTGAACTCTCTAAACGAAATTTATGTTATTCTAAAAATAAATTTGAACAAATATTTTCCTTTTTTACTTGTTTAGTCTCATCCTACACATAATTCAAATTATGGAAGCCTAATGCAACCAGGGCAACATAGTTTCCAACAAGCTAAACAAGCTCCTCCACCACAACACTATTCGCATTCACAAGCAATAGAATCAATCACACCACCATCTTCAAATGATTATACAAGTTCACATGACGGAGATTCGTCTGATTTTCTGGGCGAATTTGGAGATTATTCCAAACTAAACAGTTTAGGTAATGATCTTTTTTCAAAGATAATTATAGATCTAGATTAGAGAGTTAACGGATTCCAGAATAAGAATAATTTACACTCCATCAAATGTTTAACTTTCGAAATTTTAATAATTAGCCTTCTTCGATTAGTGATAGGCTTAAGATAATTACCCGGGTAATTATTAAGAAAAGCCTGGTTTCTATCCTTATTCTAATATTTATATCTATGTATATTGCTCTAATTTTTAAAATTATAGATGATATTTTTGAAAAACACGTCTTGACAAGTCAACATCCTTAGAAGCCGTAAGATGCCGGATGTACAAAATATTACTCTTTGTTTTATGAAATTCGGTAACCCTGTGTTATTCATCCCCATTGTTTATGCCCCCACCTTTCTTCCTTCTTCTTCCCTTTTTCAGCCTTTATTTCTAATCTCTCTTTTGGATTACAAAATGGTCAAAGGCATTTATTGGGCAAGTACTAAAATTCCGACTCGCTAATTTCCAGCTTGCATTTTTATTTAAAGTCGACAAATAATTTTGCAAAATCGCAGTTGCAAAAAATTCAAAACTTCATTTAGGTACCATTTGCCAAGTTTTTTCTGTAAAAATTGAATTGCGGCTTTCTTCACTAGGTGGATGATTGAAAATATTCAGGAATCTGAAAACAAATTTAAAAAACAAAAACTATTTTTCCAATTTTTTATAAATGCTTATATAAAACTTGTCATTTTTTGCCTTTGACAAATCCGAAAAAGAAATTAGAAATGAAAACATGAGTAGGAAAGAAGGATAAAGGTGACGGATAAAAGAGATCCTACTCATATGTACATATCTAACAAACTCATATTTACTATATTTAAATATCTTTGTAAATTATTTATGTAATTGTAGATGCATTTTTTATGTTTTAAAACATTTTTGCAATCACCTAACTGTATTTAAACATTTAATTTTCATCTCTATGTTGATAAAATTTATGTAAATTGTAAAATTATTTATGATTTTTATTGAAACCATGAGTCATTTAATATTTTTGTCAAGATTAGATAGGGATCGGACGGAAAGATGTGAGGAGAATCAAGGCGATATCTCAAAAAAGTTTCATCTATTCTCTGTCTGATCTCTAATTTTATTACTATAGATGTTTTTCCATTTTTATAAACAGGGAGTGGCAAAATATGCACGGCATATCACAAAATATCGCATATATATGCAAAGAAAAAGCCCAAAATATGCACCAATTTATCACAACAAATTTTTCGAAAAAATTTTTAACAAATTATCAGTAAAAAATTTTTTGCCTAAATATGCTATAGGAACGCGGTCCCTAATGTTCGTACCGACGTAAAAACACCATTTTTGAGCGATGCAGCTCATGACATATCTGCATACAAAATATGCTCCCTATTGTATAGCATATGCTCCCTAAAATATGCTCCCACTCCTATTTATCAGTATTCGTTATGCGGAGGGATCATGAGTGGTTTAGGGAGGAGATATTGGGGAATTGAAGTGATACATAACAAATGCCCAAAACACAGCACTTATTCAAAAAAAACACCGCACAACACCCTTGAAACCACCCCAACTCTCTTTATATTAAATCGCTCGCATTGGATACACTCGCAAATTTTTTTAAAAACGCGCGTCTTGACAGGCATAAAGGCGTATTCACTCCCTCCCTTCTCAAAAGCCCTCTCTTAATTTTTATTTTTAATTCCTTATTAAATAATTAAATGTTAGAATTTAAATTTTAAATAATTTAACAATTATTAAAATCATAAATGATTAACTTTCCCTTCTTCCTGAAACCGATCATAAAAACTTGTCAAAGGCAAAGACATTGAAATTTATAGTATTATCAAAAAATTTAATTTCAATTTTATACCACTATCCTTTTTATTCAAAGTTGTATTCTATTTTAGCTCGGCCTTTATTCTAAATTTTTTAGTTTTTTCTTTATTTTTAAATCACTTTTACGTCAATTTACGTTCTATAAAAATATGTCCAAAGGATATGTTTTAGCGAGACCCTTATTAAAACCTGTCAAAGTCCCTTTTAATATCGTCATATCAATCCAGTCCCAAGAGCATATTAATTCAGTCTTTTGATATTATTTTGTAGCCAATTCGGCCCAAAAGATAAGTTCAGATTAGGGTTGCGCCCCGACCCCGACTAACCCCGACCCCGACCCCGAACCCCGACACTTTTTGACCTAAAACCCCGACCCCGACCCCGACATTCCCAACCCCGAAAACCCCGACCCCCGAAAGTTCGACCCCGACGACCCCGAACCCCGAAAAATTTTTATGACCCCGACTCAAACTGCATTAATTAACTAGAGATCGGAACGGGATCGGGACTTTGATGTTAAATATATGAAGGAAAAGGGAAATGAATATTTATATTTTCTCCTGTTTCCTTTTGTTGGTCGGTGGGCGAGTGGTTAGGTTAACTGACTTCACCCATCTAGCTATTTTGATAGGTATGGTGTTCGAATGCATCGATTGAAATGAGACTGAGAAAATTTTTCTTCTCAAAAATAAATATTTTTAAACTTTGATCTTGATTTTAAATATGCAAATTTATTTTTTTTAATATTTTAAACTTGAAAAAATTTTAGAAATTTTAAACTAGTCATGAATTTTCCAAAATTTTCACCTGTGGCGTAGAAAATGGAAGAAATCTGTCTCTTGGCCTTCCTAAATTCTAAAAATTTTCGCCTGCGGCGCAGAAAATGGAAGAGATCTGGCTCTTGACCTTCCAAAATTCTCAAAATTTTTGCCTGCGGCGCTAAACTCAATGAAGGGATACAGAGGCTTTAGGAGAAATTGATGGATAGATGGATTTCTCCAGTTATACTTGCAAATCCCCGATATCCCTTCAAATCCCTCTAAATCCCATTATATCCATCTTAATCCTCTGATATGCCTTCATATCCCCTCACTCCCTTTAAGAGGGGGAGTAAGAGTAGAAAATGGAAGAGATCTGGCTCTTGACCTTCCAAAATTCTCAAAATTTTTGCCTGCGGCGCTAAACTCAATGAAGGGATACAGAGGCTTTAGGAGAAATTGATGGATAGATGGATTTCTCCAGTTATACTTGCAAATCCCCGATATCTCTTCAAATCCCTCTAAATCCCATTATATCCATCTTAATCCTCTGATATGCCTTCATATCCCCTCACTCCCTTTAAGAGGGGGAGTAAGAGTTACCTTGTGGGTTTGGGGATTATGAAGGATAACTTGGATAAAGTACTTCTTGCGCCTTCAACTAATAACGAATTAGATTTAGAAAGTGAAGATAATGAAGATTAAGTTGATTTTTTAATAAAAATGTTGATTTTGCACAGTAATATTGGATAAAAATGCTGGATTTTGTAAATTTTCACTTCAACCCCGACCCCCGACCCCGAACCCCGACATGATTTTCAGCCCCGACCCCGACCCCGAACAATTTGAGCAACCCCGACCCCGACCCCGACTTTGTCAACCCCGAAAACCCCGACCCCCGACTTTTTCAACCCCGAAGGCTCGGGGCGCAACCCTAGTTCAGATATAGCATATGTTTCCAAAATATAAAAACAAAGAGCATTGCCGGATGTCGGCTTGATTAAAAACTTGTGGTCCTATTTTTGTCAATATAGCGGCATTTTTAATGTTAAGGAAAGCACTTTATTAAATTAATAACCATCCACATGTTATGCAGCACGTGAACTTTTGATGCCATTAAAAACGGATAAGGCTAAGTTTAGAGGATAACAACGTTGTTTAGATAGCCCTCACAAACAATTTCTTCCATCTTTTACTTTATTTTCTATACGAATTGGTTCTTGTTACTCTTTTGTTGAATATTTAAAAATATTTTAGACTCAATTACTCCTTAATTCAATTTGTAGTTTATGAAAAATTATTTATAGGAGCGACTAGCATTGTTTATTGGACATGAGTAAAGTCAAATGATACTCCCCCAAAAATTAAACAATGCCTTTTTTATTGAATCACAATGGAAAGTGCATGCAAAGACTCCCCCCCCCCCTCCCTGCCTCTTTACATTTTTAAATGAATCTCTAAGGAAAGGGTAAGAGAGGGCTTTTCAACTCTCTCTATATTTTAATTTCTCTAAGGAAAGGGTAAGAGAGGGCTTCTCAACTCTCTTTATAATTTAATTTCTCTAAGGAAAGGGTAAGAGAGGGCTTCTCAACTCTCTTTATAATTTAATTACCCATATTATTGAAGAGGAGTTGATTTTACTTTACCGAATCTCGGTGTCGTGAGGAAGTTCTAGGACAGTCTCTCCCACATCTCTTTACAGGGTATAACTATTAAATCTGGCCAGCCATATTTGTCGCCAAATATTCTTTTTAAATATCTTGATTGTTCTGTTACTTGCTTTGGAATGAGCCCAAAATTTTAAGTCGAAAAGTTAAAATTAAAAAATGCCTTTTTAAAATAAATCCAGTAAATGTATTTTCAATATTCTCCAAAGTACGGTAGTAGCTCCTTTAACGAAAACTTTTATGTTTATTTGGCGAATTTTTCCAAAGTTCATACATATTAAAGACAGACGTAGGCTCCAGTCCCGCAAAGATATTAAAGGAATCCACATTCAGGACACACAAACTAAATTTTGCCGGCCTCTAGTCATACATATATGTATCATTCCTTTAAACAATTATCTACTAGAATCATATCTTGAACAGCTTGCCGGATGTCGGCCTGATTAAAAACTGGGAATCCTATCTTTGTCAATTTAGCGGCATTTTTAATGTTAAGGAAAGCACTTTATTAGATTAACAACCATCCTCATATTATGAAGCATGTTAATTTTTATTGGCAAAATAAATCTTTTTTAATTTTAAAAGTAAAATATAAAGCCGCCTAAACATAAAATTTTTTTGCCAATTCTTTTAAACTTTTAAACGCCGTTGCTTATGTTCAGCATATTGCCCTGAACATGTAACCGTCTATAAAGATTTTTGATTTCTTATTTTGTAGCCTATAGTATGTATGAATTCCCAGGGGGATAATCCGCTATACTTCTTCCCTCACAATGCC